AGTGAGTCCAGATCGTTTTCATTTGGGTTGAAACTCATAGCATATAAGTGTATAGTCCGTTTTCAGTCAATTCCTATGCAAGCCTGGACAGTGATCTCGGTGTCTTTATTCTGCCGCCATCTTGTATATCTCCCGGCACTATTTTTTAACATGGAATTTTTTATCATTTTATGTCAACACCATTTAACATAATACAGAAAAACAAAACACACTTTTTAAAAAATCAGATGATTTATATATATTCTGTATAAAACAAGGGAGTTGATTCACATGTCCAGAGGGCAGGATTGCAGGCCTCTCCTTTCAGGAAAAGAAGAGTATGAAGTGCAGCTAAAACTCTTACCAAAGGAGGCATTATGCTTCCTGAGAAATCTCAAGAAATTGTCAGCAGTAGTAATGGTTATTGAATCAAGTAATAAAGGAAAGGTTAATAAGGGAGAGATTCAAAGTGGCTAGTATGAAAGCTAGAGATAGTTTGCTCAGAATACAGAAGTAGCAAAGTACTAGACAACAAGGATTATTTAGAGATGGTATCTTCTTGAAAAATATGTAAATTGAAATAAATCGTGACTGAAATGGTATCATGTGAAACTTCATTGAAGTTCTAAAATATTTCATTATATAATTTCCTAATTATAAGCTAATGGTATTTAAAAACACACACACACAAAGAATCTTAATACTAGCAGATGGGGGGCACAAATTGTCTAATACTCATTTTAAGATTGGGATGCCCCTTTGGAATGCAATTTAGCTAGTGGTGTGACCTGAGGTTTTGTTAATCTTGTCAATTTTCCTTTGATTCTGAGACAGGAAATGAGTTCACCCTTTTGGGGTAACAAGTCATTTCCCAAACTTTCATGTGAAAAGGAAAAAATTTTAAAAGTAACAATAAGAGACTTTAAGATTCCTAAAACTATACTTTCTGGGACTGTTTCTATAGTCCTTAAAATCCCTTTTTTTTTTTTCTTTTGCAGCTGTCAAGAAGGACTCAGTAGATGTTCGATCTTACATTGCTCGTTCCCTCATAGATGGCTTTGAAGGGCCTTCTGGTTACAGCCAGAGATTTGGGTTGCACTACGTCAACTTCAGTGACAGCGACAAGCCAAGGACTCCAAGGAAATCTGCCTACTTTTTTACCAGCATCATTGAAAAGAATGGTTTCCTCCCAAAGGTGGCAAAAAGGATGCCTCTTCCTAGTATAGCAAACTTACCCCCTAAAATCAGAAGCTTTACTTTTCCATCAGAGGTGCCCTCCAAGGCTAAAGTAGTTTGGGAAAAGTTCTCCAAGCAACCCAAATTTGAAAGAGATTTGTTCTATCACGGCACATTTCGGAATGACTTTCTATGGGGTGTGTCCTCATCAGCCTACCAGATTGAAGGAGGCTGGGATGCTGATGGCAAGGGCCCCAGCATCTGGGACACCTTCACCCACTCTCCGGGGAATACTGTGAAAGGCAATGCTACTGGAGACGTAGCCTGTGACAGTTATAACCAGCTGGATGCTGACCTGAATATGCTTGACGCTTTGAAGGTAAATGCCTATCGCTTCTCTCTCTCCTGGTCTCGAATTTTCCCTACTGGGAGAAACAATTCTATCAACAGACATGGTGTTGATTATTACAACAGGCTGATTAATGGCTTGGTGGCTAGAAACATCACTCCCATGGTGACGCTGTTCCACTGGGACCTACCCCAGGCTCTCCAGGATATTGGAGGCTGGGAGAACTCTACTTTGATTGAGTTGTTTAACAGCTATGCAGACTTTTGCTTCCAGACATTTGGTGACAGAGTCAAGTTCTGGATGACCTTTAATGAACCCACACAACAGGCCTGGTTAGGTTATGGTACAGGAGTTTTCCCCCCAAATGTGAAGGACCCAGGCTGGGCCCCTTATAGGATTGGCCATGCTGTTATCAAAGCTCACGCCAGGGTCTATCACACCTACGACAAGCACTATCGGCAGGAACAGAAGGGGGTCATCTCACTGAGCCTTGGTGCATTCTGGGCAGAACCCAAGTCACCGGAGATCCCGAGAAATGTGGAGGCTGCTGACCGAATGCTGCAGTTCTCCCTGGGCTGGTTTGCCCACCCTATTTTCCGAAATGGAGACTATCCTGATGCCATGAAGTGGAAAGTGGGGAACAGGAGTGAACTACAACACCTAGCCACCTCCCGTCTGCCAAGCTTCACCGAGGAAGAGAAGAGGTACATTAGGTCTACGGCTGACGTTTTCTGCCTCAACACCTATTCCTCCAAGATCGTGCGATACACAACACCCAAGCTCAACCCACCCTCCTACAGAGATGACCAGGAGATGATAGAAGAAGAAGACCCGTCCTGGCCAACCACAGCGGTGAACAGAGCTGTGCCCTGGGGGATGCGAAGGCTGCTCAACTGGATCAAGGCGGAATATGGTGACATTCCCATTTACATCACTGACAATGGAGTGGGCCTAACAAATCCACAAGTGAGAGACACCGAAAGGATATTCTACCATAAAACCTACATTAATGAAGCTTTGAAAGGTATGTGAGGCTTTATGTTCCCCTTTCAAAATCTTCTACCATCCATGTCTCCTGTAGGAAGTGGATTGGCAGGGTGGATAACAAACTATGAACAGATCTTTTATGCCCTGTTTCCCCCTCTGGGCTTACATAATAGATCCCCTTGGTAATCTGAAAAAAGTTAACATCATGTCCCCAAATATGTAGTCCTGGAATCCCCACAAGAATATTTTCTTGGGCCCATTCATTATTACTGAGTGACTGCTATGTGATGAATTTTTTGCTAGGTGCTGGGGATATAGTAATGAATAGATTTTTTTTTTTTTTAACCTGTGTGGAGGTTATATTCTGGTGGGTTCCATGCATCCCAAAGCCAGTGACTCTAATTCACATTGTGTTTAATTTCCAACGTGGGCTGAGATGCTTGAGTTTGAGACACACACCTAGACCACAAGAGAATTTGATTTTGCAAAGATCAGTCACTCATACTTCCTCTCAGGCCCCATGGCTGGCAAAAGGAAAGCTAGACAAGAAAGCTGTGTGTACGAGGTGATAACCTTGGACGTGTGTACGAGGTGATAACCTTGGACTACTCTCTGCATTTGAGGAGCCAGCATTTGGCTGCCTTCTTGGATTCCTGCCCTCCTGGTATAAAGCTATTGTCCTGTGTAAAACTCTTCTCTGGTGTAAAGCTTTTTTGGAATGTTCCCAGCCTACAGACTTGATGGTGTAGACCTTCGAGGGTATTCTGCCTCGTCTCTGATGGACAGCTTTGAGTGGCTAAATGGATACACAGTCAAGTTTGGGCTGTACCATGTTGATTTCAGTAAGGCGAACAGGCCTCGAACAGCTAGAGCCTCGACCAGGTACTACACAGAGCTCATCACTAACAATGGCATGCCGCTGCCCAAGGAGGACGAGTTCATCTACGGACAGTTTCCCAAGGGCTTCATCTGGAGTGCGGCTTCTGCTGCCTATCAGGTGAGAAGTTCAGGACAGTTCACAACTTTGATCGCAGACCTACTCTGCTGGGTTTGGGGGCAGGAAGGGCAGGCACGTGAACAAGGGGTTTTCATAGATTTCTCTGTAGGAGGACAGGGTGGGTGTCAGGATGGGAATCTGGGAGGACTTCTTCCCGAGCGTGGCTTTTTGACACTTTCACATTCAGGTGCTGAGATGGGTGTGAGCAGGTGGAGCCAGAAACAGTTGGGCAAAACATGCAAATAGGGAGATTCTTCACTGGATGCTTTCATTTCTCTGAGTCTATTCCACACAATTTGCTAAATTGGCTATAAATTCGATATTCTAACATTATACTATATGTTACCTTACTTGTGTCAATGTGGTTCACTTATACAGAAAATGGGGTGGTTTTTGCTTTGTCTCAGGAAAAGAAAAAAGGAAAGTGATTTGCTCATACAGTTAGTTGTGGCTTCCTGCTTTCCATCTTGTCTCACTGTTTTTCTTGGATTGTGGGCTCTGTCTGCCTGCTATGGCACCTGGGCAGCTTTAGAGGTGTAAGCTGACCTGACTCTGGGTGTGCTCAGCTCTTGGGTTCTTTCCTAGATGATCAGTCACTGACAATGTTTTTGTAGTAGGTGAGGACTAGTTACTCCCAGACAAAGCACTATCAGGTTACAGTGAAATCTCAGACCAATTTCTGCCATATTTGGACATTTACTAGCTAAACACAGATGCATAAAAGCACTGTTGTGTGTGCTGGAGATAACACTGATTCTGGGTCCCATGAGATGCCTCGTTTCTGGCAAAGTCAGGAAACACCAAGATTGAGGTGGAATTTTGCAGCTTTTATCAGGCAAGTATTTCCCTGTAGCAATTTCTCCAGTTTAGTCCAACTGACATTTGGAAGGATAACCCCCCCCCTTTTTTTTTTTAAATTTTGTAAAGCAATGTTAGTTTAATCTAAAAATGAAATAGCATATTGTAAGCACATAGTGGATATTTAGAGTCCAACTTTTTGCAAAGTCATGATTGAGAGTTTTAAGAGGAAGGCTGACTGATCCTCTTAGGAGCAGAGTTATAATTCCAATAAAGAATTACAGTTTTTTTATCTTCCATTCAAGTCTTGGTCAAGAGCATGGAGAACAATTCTTATATATTTATATTTATATATATATATACACACATATACATATATATAGTTTATTTTTACATCATTTTGTGCATTTTTCCATCTCATTTGCAGTTCCCAGCACCAAATCACCCATGTGCCATCACCATAGTCCAGTGCATTTCCCTCCCCCCACTGTTTCTGATTACATTCCCTGCTCCACCCCCACAAAATGTCTCTGGTATATAGCTGTTCATCATTATCATTATTTTTTCACCTGTTCCATTATATTCCTGCTATGAGAGAAACCATCCGGTATTTTTCCTTTTCTTTCTGGCTTATTTCACTAATAAGGATAACTCTTTGTTGTGGCATTTGTCTTGCACACTTTACAATGTTTGTCTGGCACTCACTAGATGCCAGCAGATTCCTTCTCTAGTTTTAACAGCCAAAATACCTTCAGAAATTGCTAAATGTCTCCGGATAAATTAGGCCCCAGGTGAGAGCCACCCCTGTACAGGTATCCAGCTGAATACAGAGTAGTTTAGGGGCTGTTCACAGGCATAGGTTGCAGGCCTTGGTGTATTCTTCAGCCTTGCCTATGCAAGGACAGGGAGTATCTTGAAGACATTTTAGCCAATCCACATAAGCTCATCATATTTATTTATTTAATCACCCTGTAGTCACTAACTCCCAACCACTGAGGCCATCTCCCCAACCATATGGTCCACATGAAGTATGTTCCTGCTGATTTTGACCCCACCACTCACACAGGGCACCTTGTCAAGCCTTCTTGCTCGAATGCCAGTGCTGCCTTCGCTAGAGCCAGTCACATAATAGCATTACCATGTATGTGGAAACATTTGAAAGTCTGTTCTAGAAATCGTGCCTATCAGTTTCCCCAAATGTAGGTAGGCATTTATCCAGTGGCTTACAGTTAGTTTCCCTGTAGGACCCAGATGGAAGGAGGAAAGGAAGGCCCTGACAGGGATACAAGTCCTAATTAGAAATGCTGTCATCATACTGAATTCATTGGGATTTGCTCGGCCATCGTTGGGACTGAGACACATGGAACTGTTCACTCAGATCTTTGTTGACCTCCCACATGTACCAGACACTGCTAGGACATAGCACTCAGACCTCATACTTTGTGGGAAGCCAGTCACCAATGCACAAGTGCAGGTTGTACAGACTATATGCATAGAAAGCTGTAGGTGGTCAGACAATGGAGGCTAGCCAGAAAAGGTTCCTGACTTACCTCCTACCTAGGACTCAGCCCTGACAGAAGGCAACTTGTGAGGGTTGACTGCACAACTTAATAACCCCATGTCTTGTCATCTTCAGATTGAAGGTGCATGGAGAGAAGATGGTAAAGGACTCAGTATTTGGGATACCTTTTCTCACACACCACTAAGGATTGGGAATGATGACACGGGAGATGTGGCCTGTGATAGTTATCACAAGATCGCGGAGGATGTGATTGCCTTGCAGAACCTGGGTGTGTCCCACTATCGCTTTTCTGTCTCCTGGCCTCGCATCCTCCCAGATGGCACCACCAAGTACATCAATGAAGCAGGCCTGGACTACTACGAGCGGCTCATTGACGCACTGCTGGCTGCCAACATCAAGCCCCAGGTGAGGAGCCAGCTGGGTGGAGGCATTTATTTTATTGTATGCACAAAGTGCTATTTTCAAAGTTAAGTACTGCATTGCCAGTAAATTAAAATGCACAGAAGGGACTGCTATGAAGGTTTCCCTTCCACCTCTGACCCCCAGCCATCTTGGTGCCCTCCCACTAGACAATCAAATTTGCTATACTCTCATGATCCTTTGCGTGTGTAAACCAGTGTGTCTGTTTTCCTCTTCCTCTTTTTATGATAGGACACCTGCTTATTTGGTTTTATTTAACAGTATTTAGACAGCTCAACATTCATGCACACATTCCTCACTTGTTTTTTTTGTTATTAAGGGGGATTGTTTGCCCCTTCATTCCGTTATTTTTTTTTTTTTTTGTGACATTCCCACTCTTTGGCCATTATATTCAATACTGCAATGTGTAACCATAGACATACATCACTTTGCATATGTGGAAATTTATTTGTAGAATGTGATCCTAGTGATGCTGTTTTTGGAGTCAGTGCAGGGTCCTTGATTCACTCTGGAAAAGGTTTCACCAGAGCTCCTTTCACCGGCATGTGGTGAGTTCCCAGGCGAGTATCTCCACAAGACAGAGACTCAGCTATATTTAAAGAGATTTATTAGGGAAAAGGACAGAGGAGTACTGGACATTTAGCATAGGCACAAGTGGGCAGGAAGAGCTGCTCCGAAAGGAACAGGCTTGCTGAGAGGCCTGCATGGTTGCAGGCAGGCGGCCTTAGGAGAGAGGCCTCTGCTGAGGTCAGTGTAGAGAAGTCCCAGCATAGGGCATGTCACAGGTAGGCAGGAGGCTGCTGCCCTGCAGAGGGAGAGAGCGTGTGGCAAGAAGCACCTATATAGGCACAGATGGGCAGAGGACTACTGCAGAGACTGCCCTGATACAGACATGTTCTCTTGAGCGGGGCTCACTCCTTAGGATCCTAGGTTGGACTAGGATGACTCTGAAAGGGACAGGACATCCCACAATGGGCTCCATCTCCATGATCTTTCTCTTTCACCTTTTGGGTGTATTAGACACAGCTTACGGCAGTCTGCCACCTGCTTTGATCTTATGCTTTGTAACTTCGGCATTGGCACCTAAGGATCTTGGTTCCTACAGCTGCATCAATGGCTGTGCTAATCCTTTCTGCCCCAGAATCTGTGAGAGTCATTTTCCTTACTGTCATTTCCTCTATTGCTAGGAGAAAAATTGGAGCAAAAGTGCCTGTTTCCTTAACAAGAGATGTTAACAGTAAGACACTCACTTGGCTGTCACCAAAATCCTCCCCCTACCCTCAGCATTTGTTAGTTCTCAAGGGCTGGAGGCGTAAGTTCTGTGAAGCTGTTTGTGTCCCTTGCTATAGAGGTGGGAGATTATGCCCCTTGACCAGAGCATAATACCCCCAGAGAAGAATCCTTGTACTGGAACAAACCAGTCTTGTATTGATATGAGTGCCAAGAGAGAGAGGCGCCTGTAGCGCCTGTGATCTGTGTGGATGATGAGATTCATCTTAACAATTCAGAGCAACATGAGAACATGTAGCTCACTGTCAAATGACTGTCTTTGAGGGCCTGCAAACTCCACAAAAAGGGAAAGTGCTGTGGTCAGGGAAAGCTTCAGGGAGGTGTGGGTTGTGAACAGGAGAATTTGGGTGGGTGGACGGGCAAGCAGAGGATGAATTTTTCAGATGGATGAAAAGACTGAGCCTCACTGAGTTGGTGGTGTTTAGTTAACAGGGAAAACTGAGGGCAGAGCAGACCCTGTCTTGGCCAGAAAGCCCCTTCTCAGCAAGGGGTTCCCTGGTCATAGGCCAAACTTCAAGATATATTAGGGGATATCCTTGGGGATGTATCCTTACAAGTTAGATACCACCATCCTTCTGGAACATGAGATCCTCACACTCGGTCTAGTTTGTGCAGGTAGGTCCTGAAGCACTAGCATTTCTTATTCATGACCATGCGCATTACTAATCTGAAAGAGCTGCCAGAGTGTGATTCAGGCCTCATGATGATTTCATGAGATGGTGGTGTTGGTGTCTAAGCCATCACACAGCTGGCAGGGGGTGGAGTCAGGGCTTGAATCCAGGCCTCTGTGATCCAGCTGTTCGAATTTCCACGCTTTAGTGCTGCAGTCCTACCCCTCCCACAAGGCCTTTTCCATCTCATCATTCTCCGCTTCAGCAGATTTGAGTAATGTCAAAAACACCCAGGAAAATCAATGTGACGGAACTGCTGATTTTGCTGTTTACAGGTGACCATTTACCACTGGGACTTGCCCCAGGCACTCCAGGATGTAGGAGGCTGGGAGAATGAGACCATTGTGCAGCTCTTTAAAGAATATGCAAATGTGCTCTTCCAGAGGCTGGGGCACAAGGTGAAGTTTTGGATCACACTCAATGAGCCCTTTAATACTGCTACCCAAGGCTATGGTTATGGTACAGCAGCTCCAGGTAAGGGCAGAGATCCTTCTCAGCTTTCCAGATGAAGCAAGACATTCTTAGCTTCTAAAAGACGTAAGATTTGGGTGGTACTGGAGGTGGCCAAAAACAGCTTTGTGACAATGCCTCATAATCTCTGCCTTTTGCTCAGTGCTGCCTAAAAGGCAGAAGGTCCTCTTCTGACACCAGCTTTGTTAAACATGATTTTCCTTTTTTTGAAGTTCCAAAAGGGTGACCTTTTATTTTTTAAATATATTTATATCATCATTTATCTTTGTACAATGTATGATTTCCCTGTGAAATTCCTACTAATTCACCTGTGCGCCATCACTGTAGTCCCTTGTGTTCTTCCTCTCCTGTCCTGATTCTTCTCCCTTTTCCTCCCCTACAGAATGGCTCTCATCTATAGTTGCCTGATACTGATTTTTACTATTAGTTATCCACCCCCCCTCCATTCCTTATTTGGTTCTTCTACATTCCTCCTATAAGAGGCCATTTTTCTTTCTGGCTTTTTTCACTGAGCATAATCCCTTTTAGTTCCATCCATGTTGCTACAAAGGGCATGAGTTTATCCTTTTTGACCATCAATTAATATTCCATGGTGTAACTATACCACATCTTGATCCAGTCATCTGTTTTGGGGCATTTGGGCTGGTTTTCACGTCAGTACCTCTGAATGGTCTCATTTTTTGGCCGATTCCTCTGACCTGCTCAGGTGGGAAACTCCCAGAGTTCTAGAACCTGGACTAATTTATTAGGGAAAGAACAATTTATTAGGCTCTACAGGTCCTTAGTTTGTTTTCTGAACTCCCAAAAGTGACTTGGTTGGCTGGAGCTCACCTGACTTGAACCAGCAGACATAATAGTTTTTCCTTCTGCTGCCCTGGGCTCTGCTGGGGGTGATCATAAATGGTTCGCATATCATTATTAAGATACAAACACCTTTCTGCTCCTAACTGTTCTTGCCTTTTTAAAACCATCAGGTTTTCTTTTCTCTAATTTTGCACTTAATAGAATAAATTTGGTGTTCATATATGTGATTCCTCAGGATCATGTTTAAGAGCTGGAAGGAGCCACAGGAATTTGATGCCAGCGTCACCAAATGTAGCTCTGACTGGCCCTGGGCACGCCTTCAGTTCATCCCTGCAGCCCAAGTCTGTCAGCTGCTGCCCAGCAACAAGCTCCAACACTTCCTTTCACCCTGGGTCCCCACAGTGCCAGAAGGTCAATTACTGAGGCTCGCACTCTTTCTGAGTACTTTTCCTGAGAGGAATAAGCCTCTCACAGTGCTGTTGGGGCTTCACTGCACCCCACTTTGTTTTCTTCTTACAACAAATCTCTGTTGCTCCTTTTGCAGAGGAAGAAACAAAGGCTCACCTAAACATACACAATCAGTTAATAAGTACAGTAAAGGGTCTGAATTCCATTCTTTTTATTGCCAGAATCTTCATTCTTTCTCCCAAATACAGAGAGACTATCTACAAAGAGCAGAGCTTTTGACCACACTCACTGTTCCTCAAGGCCATGTCTATGTTTCCAGGGATCTCCTTTCGACCCGGCACCGCCCCCTACATTGTTGGCCACAACCTAATAAAGGCCCATGCTGAAGCCTGGCACCTGTACAATGATGTGTATCGTGCCCATCAAAATGGCCTAATTTCCATCACCATTAACAGCGACTGGGCTGAGCCCCGAGACCCCACCAACCAGGAGGATGTGGAGGCAGCCAGAAGATACGTGCAGGTTTGTCCATCGTCTGGGCATTGCTTTCCTCTCGCCCTCTTTTCACTTCTGTCATGATCTAATGAAAACAGAACTGGATTACAATATAAAATTTAGGATCTAGGTAATTGGCTGTAACTTGATTTTGTGAAAAAAAAATCACTTAACATTTTTTGTACCTTAGTTTTTGTACAGTAATCTGCTGGGTGTAACACTGCTTGAAGTAAACTAATAGAAATTTCCTTTCTTCCACTTCTGGTCTGACTATGGTAAAGCACTGTGCCTCATCTCAAATGGTATTACAATCTAATTTTACTTAATCCATTTAGGAATTCCGTAAAATGGTAACTTTAGATTCTGTGAAATTCATTAGCACCCGATTTTTCCAATTGCATGTTTAACATAAGTACATACATCCTTTGGTCAAGGAAATCTGCTCCTAAGAGACAAGCCTGTCTGGGCCTCCAATAATAGAAGAGAGAATGGCCCTTCTTATGGCACAGCATTCCCCTGAATCCTAGTAAGATCCCAAGTTTCAGAGCCAGGGGAGAAAAATCATGAGACCCTCTCCACAAATTATTTTCCAACTTGGGCTCCACAGAGGAGCCTGCAGACTCTCATCTTAAGGGGACACCAAGGGCCTTGGTTTGCCAAGCTTTCTCCAAGAGAACTGAACAAAGGTGGTCAAGTTAATCAGTGCAAAGAGCTTAATTTTCCCACTTGATAGACAGCTAGTTGAAAAGTCAAGGGGACAAAATTAATGCAGCCAGTAAGGGGCAAATTGGAACAGTAATTGTACTTTGTTTTCTAAACTCAAGTCCAAACCTCAGAAAATGTTAGGCTATCTTGTCATTTAACTTATCACCAATGGTGAAGGTACACTGTAGCCCAGAACTAGGACACACATTTGCTAGTAGAACTGGCTGCCAGTGTGTTACCTTAGAGGGCACTAAAGCCTCTCATTGTAGTGTGACTTCCAAGTCCCTTCTCTGATTGTCCTCACCCCACACTTCGGGCACCAACCAGCTGGCAGGTGAGGGGAGAATGTGAAGAGACAAAAGCAGCCTCTCAGGACCCCAACATACAGCTTTGAGTGCCATGTATCCTTCCTAAGGGGTCAAGGTGGCTAGATCTAACTCAAGGAAATAGGTAGATTGAGAAGTTCCCACTTCAGAGCTATGAATTTAAAGTTTGTGAATATTTTTTACTTGGACAGCCCCAGAATTTTCTGATGATACTTAGACATGATGATCTGGATGCACCTGCACCATGGTGAAAGGGAATCTACAGCCTGGAAGTTTAGTTTCTGTCCTTCTGGTGTGGGACCCTTCTAACATTAGCCAGCTACTTCCATGGGAATTTAAGCTGCAAAATCTAAACAGTTGCAGCAGAAAGTTCTAGATTATGCATGTGTATGTGTGTGGGGCAAGGGGGTCTGAAGTCAGTGGGGTCTGAAGTCAGTGGCCTCTGAGCAGGGTAGTTGCTGCCTGGCATGTGGCCATATGCTAATGCCAAAGCTGACTGTCCCCCTGATCTTACCTGCAGTTTATGGGAGGCTGGTTTGCACATCCTATTTTCAAGAATGGTGATTACAACGAGGTGATGAAGACACGGATTCGTGACAGGAGTTTGGCCGCAGGCCTCAACAAGTCTCGGTAGGTCCTGGTGCCCACACAGTCAGCCAGAAGCAGATCAGGAGGAAATCTGCTCTGTGGAGCTGAACTGAGCCTCCCGGGTGGACAGTATGGTGGTGAGTGTAGCTATCATGGTCATGCCACAGGCAAGTTATTTTATCTCTAAGCTTCTTTGTTTGCCAGAAAGATTAAATAATCCTATCTGAAGCTCTCAGTCAAGCCCCTGGCAACCATAAACGCTTGGCAAAAGCAGCTGCTACTGTTGTTCAGAATTCTGCCCCATGGGCACCCTCTTAGCAACCAAGGGTAAATTCCTCAGCTCATCCTATCCTGTCCTCACCTCTGAGTGAATATGGATAGCAAAGAGTGATTGCAAGCCAGGTACCAGCTTTCTGTCATTTGGTGATGGATTATACTAAAGTTGTCTTACCTCCTGGCAAAGAAGTAATAACATCATCAGTTACAGCAAATGTTTACCCGTTTTTGTATCGGTACTTTCATTTCTAAAAGTGAGTAAACTGAGCCACAAAGATCACCCAAAGATCATGTGATGAATCTGGGACTGAAAACGAGGGTGACTGCCTCCAGGGCCTAAGCTCTGGGCTTGGGAGTCATCCAGCTGGGTCTGAAGGTGGGGTGTGTGGAAGGAGATGAAGTAGCCTGGCTTTATGGGAACATACCTGCAGTGCCAACGTAACTCACGTGACCAAAGAAGGGGAAACTAAAAAGAACTCAAAAGTCATGAACTCCTAATATCACTTTTGTGTTCCCCTTGTACAGCCTGGCTATGAGGATTAAAAAATCCAGCCCTCACCCTTACAATTCATGTTCCAGCCTGGTCAGGGCAAGTCCTGCTGAATAGATTCCCCTCAAGGCCTGATCTGCCAACTCTGGTCTCCAACAGGCAGTGAGTGCTATAACCCATGACAAACTTGTTGAATTGCTTATGTGTTCAGGTCTGCAACAGACCTGGCAGAGGATTCAAAGTGTGGCGCAAGCTGCCAACAACTTGGTTGACAACTTGAGCTGTCAACTTGGTTAGTCCTCAATTTATTTATGCAAACTAAACTCAGAATATAAGAGTATGGTGTGCTGGGTGACTAAGAGACATCATGGTTAAGGCAGAACATCAGTTGTGCTTGCCCTTGACAATGAACAATGTTTGGGAGAGCAGAGCGCATCCATTCGAGAAGAGGGCATGAATATCAACCTAGAGGTAGGAATAAGAGACACAGACAGCTGAGTGGGAGACTACCCCAGTGGCAGTGGAGGGAGCTAGGCCACAGGTAGAGAACCTGTAGGTCAAGCACAGGCACTTGACTTTAATGCCATGGGAGGCGCTGCTGCTTCCTGAGCAGGGGAGTGATGGACACGAAGGGGGGAGGTCTTTAACTTGCTTATCAGTTTCAGAAACACCCAAGAAAGGAAGATTTTGATCCCCAGGTTAATAGTAGCAGAAAAATAAAGTTGCCAGACAACCATGTAGTACAAACTAAAGGCATGCCTAAACTAGCAGCAGGATGTGTATGTGGCCAGGGTGTGGCTGAGGGGAACCTATAAGCATTACATACAAATGCACATTAGTCAAATGGTGTAGAAAAGTCCCAAGAGTAGAGCAGTTCTCCCAATGTTGCCTACATTGAAAGAAATTTATTTGAGGAGCTGCTTTGGTTACTTGTAGTTTTACTTTCGAGAATCTGTCCACAAGCACTTACTGTATACAGAACATGTTTTACCAATTTATAAAAGTATAGCAAAATCATGTGAACAGAAAAGTCTGTATCTCAAAAGTTTAATATATTAAATTTGTGAAACTATTTTCCTAATAGGGTAACAGGGATTTTGGATAAAAAAGCCACTACTAACTAAACCACACAAAAACCAGAATAATTTATAAAGGGCAGATTATAGAAATAAATATGATACAAGATATATAAAGGGTAGGTCTCATGGTACCTTAGACATGTCCTTGATTTCAAAATCCAGTACAGGTGGTAACTATCAAGTTGTACAGAAAGGGTAACTTGTTTCATTCTGCTAACAGGGAGAGGGACTTGGAATAAGGTTTGGTTTGACAAAGGATGGGTGGTCCTTTAGCAGAGTTGGAAGGGGCTTCCTTGTTCTTGGTCAGCTTCCCCCAGTTGGTGCAGAATGTCTGTAGTTCAGACATTTCTTCCCAAAGTGTGACTCTTCCTGAAGTCTCAGGTCATTCACTGCTCCTCCCACCCAGGCTCCCAGAGTTCACAGAGAGTGAAAAGAGGAGGATCAAAGGCACCTATGACTATTTTGGATTCAACCACTACACCACTGTTCTAGCCTACAACCTCAACCATGCCTCTTGGATCTCTTCTTTTGATGCAGATAGGTAAGTGGACCACTAGGGACCTAGAACGATCTTTTGAAAAGATAGTAGCCAGCTTTTACTTAGAGGTCTGCAGTCTCAGAGAACTGCCTCCTGATGCCATATCCCAGGGTTGATTATACCTAGCCAAATCTTTATCAAGCTGACAGTTACACATACTATGCTTCACCTTGAAACAAATGTGCTTGGGATTTTCACTTTTTTCTCTTGCTGGTGTTTTCCCCCTCCTCCTTTTTGAGCTAAAGAAGCTATTTTTATGTTACACAAATTCATCATGGGTACATTACAAAGCAAGAATAGGAAATTGTGTCATTTCAAAAGAATGTGTATAAACTGTTAGTTTATGTAGCAAATACTCATATTCTGCATTATATTTGTAAATCTGTATTACTAAAAAAAAATCAGGATTATATGTACACACACTATTCATTCCTTTTGTAACAAGTATTTCCCACATTGGTAGCTGTGACTTTGTCCAGGTTTTCTTTGAAAACAAACTGCCATGACCCCAATGTATCCTATAGCCATACAATTTTGGTTTGCCATTGGGGCAAACTTGTTAGTCCTAAGACTCTGCCTAGGACCTGAGTTCAGCATCACAAAATGCCCCACCTTTTTATAAAAAGGAAGCCATATCTCCACAGCTGATCCTTATTTGACAGAATAAAAAGAAAAGAAAGCATGTGTACACCACTCCCCACCCCTCCTTTATCATAAGCTCCTCCTTGTTCAGCAGCATCTTGGGTATTTGAAGCTGGTCCTAGCCTATCTGCTTCCCGTCTTAACAAATGAGGGCCCCAACTATTGCTGTCTGTGGTCTGCAGTCTGTGACAGATGTAGGTGACTCAGAGGCCACATTCCCTGAAGACAAAGCGTACCCATTCCACCAGGGATGGTGGGTCGGAAACCCAGAGCCCATTTCACATCCATTTAAGTGAGATGTGATTTGTTAAGAGCTAGTAGCAGATTAGGTAGGTACATAACTAAAAACAGAACAAAAATAGAGTAAGTGGCCTGTTCCACTGATGGTGCAATTAGAATTAGTACATTCAACTAAAGATAAGAGAACTTAAGGCAATTTGACTTTTCTTGGGTTTTTTTTTTTTTAATACTTTTCTGGTTTTAGTTAAGACCTTCAAGTTCCTAGTATAAATCTGATTGTTTTGTGCAAAGGGCCTCTCAGGATATACAAAAAGACCTAACCATGTTTGAACTTGTAGGGGAGTTGCTTCAATCACAGATCGCTCTTGGTCAGACTCTGGCTCCTTCTGGTTGAAGATGACACCTTTTGGCTTCAGAAGGATCCTGAACTGGCTGAAGGAGGAGTACAACAATCCTCCAATTTACATAACAGAGAATGGAGTGTCTCAACAACGGGGAGAAGAGGATCTCAATGACACTGCAAGGATCTACTACCTCCGCAGTTACCTCAATGAGGCACTCAAAGGTATGACAGGCGCTCATCCCTTCCTCCATGTACATTTCACTGCTGTAAACATTTGCTTATTTTCTACATTGGCTAGAAGCCAATAGGGATGACCTGGTCTGCAGGATCTTTCACTCCCCACACAAAAATAATGAGACTTTCAGACTTGGCAGAACAACTTGGAATGGGCTTATGAAAGGGAATGAAGTAACACTAGGAATGAGAATAAGCAATACAGCAGCAATGAGCAAAGAATCAATGAGAACGTCCTATTCTATTAAAATGTGTCTAAAGGCCACTTTTTATAAGGCATGAGCATTAAGACTAAGGTGCTAGCCAAGACCTGTATTCTGAGATGAGAAGATAGACAGGGTTGTGGTTACTCTGGTCATTTCACCCTTCCAGCTCCTATTTAGGTCTGAGCCTCACTAAACTGATGCCAATGGCTCCATCCACAGAGGAGCAACTTATAATTACTACAAAGGATGAGGCAACTCCAAGGCTAAACTATCTCAGTTTTGAGTGGCAAGTGCTTCACACTGGCACAGCCTTATAATAGGTATGCCTGGGGAAAAATGTCTCAGATGACCAGGGACTCTTGTTATGGTTTTGTGTTTGGACAGCTGTGCAGGACAAGGTGGACCTTCGAGGATACACAGTTTGGAGTGTGATGGACAACTTTGAGTGGGCCATGGGCTATGCAGAGAGGTTTGGTCTGCATTTTGTGAACTACACTGACCCATCTCTACCAAGGATCCCCAAAGCATCAGTCAATTTCTATGCTTCAGTAGCTCGGTGCAACGGATTCCCTGATCCTGCTACAGGACCACACCCTTGTCTCCAGCCAGAAGGTGAGTTGTGGTTTTAGGGAGGGGCTGATGCTGGCAAGGTAAAAAGTGAAAGGGATCTTTTTTTTTTCAGTCCATGTTCTTATTACTCTTCTATCTACCTCTCTACCCCCTTTATTCAATATTTTCTTTGAATCCTCCAAAAATTCCGTGGGATGAAACAAAGGAACTTTTTGGTTAATGCTACATCTGGAAACTTAAGCCCTGATCTGGGAATAGTAAATCTAGATTCTTGTCTCGGCCTTACCACCAACTTCCTGTGCAACCTTAGGCAAGAAGCCAGGCAACTGTTTCTGAACCATTTCAAGGATCAAATACAGTGCCTGGCTGAGTAAGTTGTCCAATATTTGGTGAATGACCAAAAAAATATAAAAACCATAAATTACTATAGAAATGTAAGATAAAATGAGCCAATTTCCACTGAAGTTCATTCAGAGCTCCAAACTCCGATGCACTCTCCCTAGGTACCTCTTTAACTTCTCTATTCAGTGATCTACTTTAGTTGTAACACAGACTAACAGATCTGGAACCATGTATGTGCAGAGTGTAAACTGTCCTTTGTTGTTTCTCCTAGATACTGGACCCACTGTCAGTCCTGGACCCACTGTCAGTCCCGGACCCACTGTCAGTCCCGGACCCACTGTCAGTCCCGGACCCACTGTCAGTCCCGGACCCACTGTCAGTCCCAGACCCACTGTCAGTCCCCTGGGAGAAGAAGTTCACTTCCTGGGTCTAACGCTAGGTACGACAGAAGCCAAGACAGCTTTATATGTGCTCTTTTCTCTTCTAATTCTTGGAGTCTGTGGTGTAGGATTTCTGTCTTACAAGTACTATAAGTCTTCAAAGAGAAAAAACACAACACTAACATGATAAACTGAAACCTATTTCTTCAATATGACCTAAGAGTCACCACCTCCTCTAAGTACTGTAAAATCAGCCTAGTTTACTGCCTTTGCTACTTACAAAACTCTCAGATATTATACTTTGCCCATTAGGGGTGTCTACATAGAAGCTTACTGCATTATTTTGATCTCCAAGTATTTTAACTACCTAATTAAAAATGGAAATAACTAACTTGCCCCAGTATCATGAATTCATTTGGGTATTAGAGGATCCTGCAATCGGCTCTTCAGGAAATGTATGGATTCTGAACATATCTAGTGGTTTTGGGTAATCTAACTCAGGATAAATATGAGTCACGCAGCATTAAGAGTAGTAACTACTAGGGTAGTTTTATATATAAAAGCTAAGTAACAGAAAATAGAAAAGATAAAGGAAAAAAGGCTAGTCATAGATCCAACTACCACCAATAAAAATAAAGTATGTAGCAAAGGTAGAACAAATCAGGGATGTGGTTTATTCCACAATTGGTGGTAGGTCAGCAGGTTTAGCTTTTGAGGATGTTAGTGGACAGGAGGAAGGGAATTCAGATTCCTTCTCTGGTTACCAGATTTAAGTGTTAAAAAAAAATTATACCATGAGACTAACAGGGTAGGTGGGTGAATTTTAAAATTAATTTATGAACTGAAAAAGTATAAGCAAAACTGAAGACCCAGCAGCCCTAAAAAGAAACATAAAACATTACCACCAACATACTCAACAAGCAGATCTTGGTGGTATGCTTGTAGTACCAGCTACTTGGGAGGTTGAAGCAGGAAGGAGACTTGAACCCAGGAGTTCTGGGTGTTAAGTGTGCTATGCAGACCAGTGTCTGCACTAAGTTTGGCACCAGTATGGTGATCTCCCAACACCACTTGATTGTCTTAAGGAGAAGAGTGAGCCAGGCCAGGCAGGAAATGGAGCAGGTTAAAATTCCCAGCAGATGAACATACTCATCAAAATATAAACAAGGAGGAAATATTTATAGAATATGCTAGAAAAATGGCTAATTTTCTTAATGTACATGAGACCCTTAAATCAGTAAGATAAAAAAATAAAGTAAAAGTTAATATAGAACACAGATAGTTCTCAGAAAATAAACAATTGATCAATAATACGATATTCAACTTTAGTCTTGGTCACCTATAAAATGCATACAGTTTTTCATTGTGTAATATGATGCTGGCAAGGATATGGGGAAATGTACATTCTAATACACTGCTAGCTGGGAAGTAAATTCAAATAGCCTCTAGAGGAGGCAATATAACATTACCTTTTATAATCCAGCTTCCAAAAACTCTTTGACTCAGGGTTACACAAATAAATCCTGCAGGTACAATTTCACAACAAAAGGGCAACTTTCCCAAAGATGTTCACTATAGCAATATTCATAGTAATAAGACAAAAATCTGTGGTAACCAATGGAGAAGATGGGCAAATTGGGGTATATTTATCAAATGGAATGCTACGCAGCCATTAATAAGAATTAAGTAGCTATGGATTGATAGATGTTCAAGCTTGTATAAGTAAAAGCCAGATGCAGAGTGTGTATATATATTATATATACATACATATGACCACATTTATTTAAAAAATATATTATGTATGCATAAAATTTTTGATTACAAAAGAAAAATGGAGTTACCTCTGAGGAACAGGCTGGGAGTAAGATGCAGAGATGACTTCATTTTATAATGATCTAAACAGTTTTGAATTTTTACTAGATAATACTTTGAATAGGAAGACTCATTTTAAAATTAAGATTATAGATCATTCTTTTATGCATCTAAGAGCTATATTTGTTTTTGTTTTTAAGGCAAACTGACTTGAGGTACTATTGTTGCAAATACTTTTTTTTTTTTTTGCAAATACTTCTGAGTTACTTGCAGGGTTATATCCATTTGATAGTGTTTAAAGCACATAACGCTATATATTTTTTAAAATGACAAACCTTTACTTAAATGAAATGCTTGAGGATTTTTCTCTTTAAAACTCACTCAAACTACATAAGTAGTATTACAGAAAAATGACAAAAAAAGTATTAGCATTTTCTTTTTTTTCACATATACAAAGTATGACCTTTAAGTAAAATGTGTTTACAAGGCTGAAATCATACTGTACCTACAACTATGTACCCTGCTTTTAAAAATGACTCAGGTATTTGTGAATTAATTGATTTACTAAATGTTTTGTACCATTCCTCAAGTTAATCTGCAGAAGGAATTTAGTTTCTAGTTCTTAACTAAAAAAGTTCATACCTAAACATCTTTTTGTCAGTTGTACTGTGAGCTGTACAGATAGGTGAACACTTTTTACTCCACATGTACATATGTTTCACATACCTACCCACAAATCTATGTGCAAATATCTTATCCTCATCTTTCCCCTAACTTTTCCCATTTCCTCTGGTTTACCAAGGAAAACCAGAACTGTCAATTTTTCACTAAGTTAAAGGTTTACTTTTGCTATATTTTGCCAGTATATATTTCTTTTTGGTTATTTTTTATTCCATAAGTAACTCCACCCATTGTATCTCAAAGGCACTATTTTCATCTTTTTAATAGGTGACTAGTATTCCATTGATATGCCTTAACTTCATTGCATCAAGTATGAAATATCTAAGGTTTCTGATAGTGGTTTCCAGAAAATTATACCACTTTTGACTCTTACCAACAGTATAGTCTATTCACTATTTCCTTGCCAACACTATTACCACTTTTAAGTCTTTGTTATTTCAGATACTGCCAAAAAAAAAAAAAAAAAAAAACCTGCTGAGAATTCTCCCATTACAAAAGTCAACATCTTATGTGTTCTTTCATGAGCAATACCTTCCCATCTAAAACCAGAACTGTCAAACTTACTCCCTTTTCTAAACATTTCATCTTTACTACCAATATGGAAAAGAGTATATGTAGATAAAGCATCTTTAAATTCTTAAGACTAACCAAATTTGTAAAGGCCTGTCTTTATTTCAGAGTCTTGCCCTACAATGTGACTTAAGTCACTGAAGTGTGATTGACTTCACTATAAAGTGAAACTTCAGTATAAAGGTGAGAGTAGTTCTTTTGTAGTTCTTAAGAACAAAACTTTAAAAACATTGCCTCAGTGATTTAGGTCAGACAGTAACAGTACCTGTGTCAAAATTTTTTGGGTGGTATTTAAGGTAAGGTGGTCAGCTACTTTCCTGAGCAGTAATGGAAGGGAAAAAAACATGACTTCAATAGAGTCCTGTGCTAGGATAACAAAACTTAAAGCAAAAAGATCATGTCAATTTTTGGAAAAGACTTTTCTTTATTCAGTGTTTAAGATTAAAAACTACAAGATTTTGCTTGCAGCAGATGAGCAAAGAAGAAGTTAAACATAAATTATCTGATTTGCTAGTTAAAATGCTGAGACCCAGAATCAAATTAATGATATACTATTTTCTTGGATGGGCATTAGAATTTTGGAGCAAAATAGTCTAAACAAAATGTATCATCTGAGAGCATAGGGCTAACTGGGTATATGAAATAACTGATTAAGAAAGCTGATAGTCTGTGGCAGATCTCTTGATTCTTTTAGGCTTCTAGTAGTTGGTTACCATATGCAAGGACCTAGCAGCCAGTTATTTTATCTCTTGACTTATCTGAGTTAAAATTTAACCCACTAAGTAGAAATAGACACTTCATAGATAAGCTGGAAAACAAAACAGTCCCAATTCCTCAGCAGAATTTTAGTTGAACTAAATCAGGAGCAACAATGATTATTGCACAAATCGTACTTGTCACTACATCTGTTGTGTAGAATTTCCGTTCCAAGTGTTGTTTTCATCTTCACCATCATCTTGAGTCCTCAATCTATATATCTTCCCTTCCTTTTTAAAGTCTTCCCCCCGTTTCTCCAGCACTCTTTTTCTGACTGGTTCCCTGATTAACGAGAGGGAAAAAAGGCAATATAAAGTAAAAACAGTAATACAAAACTATTTCCTTCTTTCATTAATATAGGTAAATATATTTTAAGTTGTGGGTGATAGCTACTAATGCAGTACTAGACTCTCATCCAGCATATTTTATGTTATCTGTTCTCCAAGTCAAATAAGCCAAATTATTTTCCATTTCAATGCATCTGACTAATAAGATTTAGAATAGTGGGATTATTTCCCAACTGTCCTTCCCTTTATTTACGCAAGCTGATACAGCCACTAAACATAACTTAGACAATACCCTAAAGGCTATCCAAAGTACAACTTACAGTATAAGATTTGCTAACTGACCATTTTTGTAAATTATTCTGCTCATAATCTTTGATTTGTATATAAATAACAAAAGACTTCATCTGAAAAGGGGAAGGAAATGGTTGAAACTTAAGCTAATTGGTTCAAGAGATGGAGAGGAACTGAGGTAGAGGAAAAACAAAACCAAAATGACAGAACTTCACCTTCTTAAATAGTACTCTATACTTTGCCCCTACATGAGACCTTTTTTTCATTTCTGAGAAAAATTAAAAACATATAGCAAAAATCCTTTACTTTATTAAGGATTAAATGTTTCTCACCCCTACTGCTTAATTAAAGTTCTAAAATTCAGTGCCAACAAAGCTTGCTTGAATGCTATCCTATAGCTAGGAAATTCCTTGTGTCCCCACTTAAACACACGAAGTTAAAACTAGTCTTCCTGTCTAGAAGCTGAGAGAAATCAAGATAAAGATTAAACATATATAAATCGTCTAGAGACACTATAGGACTCAAAACTAGGAACAATCTCCTTAATGACTACAGTTAGAGGTAAGAATTTTCATTACTTAACACAACATTTGCTGTAATGCCTATTTATAGGCTTAATAGCGTTTAACGGTACAGGTTACTGAAACTGGTCTATTACTATGTGGCAAAATCTTTACCTAGGAAAATACTTCCTGTTAACCAGTTTAAATATGTAGAATCTTATTAGAGGTATGAAGGAAAACAGTGCTGTCCATAAATGTTACCATGGTAACCTTTTCCACTGCCATCTACAATGGAAGAGGGGCCTCTTGTACAAAAAGTCATACATTAATCAGAACATACTAGGAAGTCCAGAGTTACATCCCAGCACATATAATCAAGGGAGCCAAGAATCCCCAACAGGGAAAAGATTAAACAAATGGTGCTGGGAAACTGAAGGAAAGCATTCAGCACAATGAATCTGAACTTCTACCTCAAACCATTCATATAAATTAACTTAAAATATTAAGCTTGATGTCTAGGTTTCTATTTCAACTCCTGAAGCAAGCATGTAAAAAAAAAAATCACCTTGGCCTCTTTGGTGGTGTAAAAGTTAACTCGTAGCTATCACTAGCCACTACAGCCCAAGTTTGATCCCTGGCCAGGGAGTAACCCACATTGTACAACAGGTGTCTCCTATGGACCCAACTGTTCTGCTTCCCACTCTATTGAATCCCCTCATCCGAACACCCCTCACCCCATTACTCTGGCCTCCATCCACTTCTCATATGCATAAATAAAAATAAATCTTTAAAAAAAGAAACCTCCTTGATGTTATTCTTTTTTTGGGATATGCTACCAAAAGCACAAATGTCAAAAGCTAAATCAAGTTGGACTATATCAAACTCAAGTTTCTAAGCAGCAAATGAAAATAAAACTAAAGACAATGTACAAAATGGGAGAAAATCTTTGCAAACCATGTGTCAGAGAAGGAGTTAATATGAAGCACTCCTACTACTTAAATGGTCAACAGACCTGTGAAAAAGATGCTGAACACCAGTAATATACCTTAAAACCACATGAGATCACCTCACACCCATTAAAATAACATAATAAAAAGTAAGAAAACAGATCATGGCAAGGATGTATGAGTAATAAGGGGACATTTGCACACTGCTGGTGGGAATGTAAATGGACCTAACCACTATGGAAAATTTGAAGGCTTCTCAAAAAGTAAAAATGCACCTACCATAAAATCCAGCAATTCCACTAAAAGAGATATATCTAAAAAGATACATGCAACGCCCATGTTCACTACAGCATTACAATAGCCAAGATAACTTAAAAGCCCGTCAAATGGATAAATGGACAAAAAAAAATGTGGTATATAGTCATGTGCCCTTTACAATTGGAACACAATCTAAGAAATGCGCCATTAGGCAATTTCATTGTGTGAGTCATAGAGTGTAATTACCTAAACTTGGATGGTAGAGCTACACTATACAGCCTAGCTTTTATGTAGTCTGTCATTAACATGAAGTGACATGAAGTGATGCAGGGCTGTATGGCATAGCACTTGTATGTAGAGTCTAAAAAAGTCAAACTTGTGAAAGTGATTACCAAGGGATGGGATGTAGGGTAATAAGATTACTGTTAGTTTAATGATACAAACTAATAAGCGAATATAGACAACAAAACTGTACTGCAATTATGTAATACTGTATCACTATACAGCAATCATTACAATATAGAAATATAGCAAAGTAACACTGTGCACCTTAAATTTACACAATGTTATATATGTCAATTAAAAATAACTGGTAAGAACTATTATATTATTAAAAAAAAACTGGTAAGATGTTATATCACTAAGAATGGTACTTATTATGCAATCTGGTCCAACCACTATAGAAAGATGTATGAAGTTTCCTCAGACTATTGAAAATGGAACTACCATATCACTCAGCAATTCCACTCTAGGGATCTACCCAAAGGACATAAAAACTTCAAAAGGATACCTGCATGCCTATGTTTATTATAGCACTATTTATAATAGGAAAGACTTGGGAAACGACCCAAATATCCCAAAATAGGTGACTGGATCAAAAAGATGTGATACATGTACACAATGGAGTACTATTCAGTAATTAAAAAAAGATAAGCTTTTTTCACAACAACATTGATGAGAGCTAGAAGGGATTATACTCAATGAAATAAGTCAGAAGGAAAAATGAAAAATATCAGATGGTTTCACTTATAGGAGGGATATAGAAGTTAATCAAGTATTGGATCAGGGAAAAAGTAAAAAAACAGGGGCCCTCCATGGTGGCGTGCAGCACTGTGAAACTGGTTGTAGCTGCTATAGTGCAAGTTCAATTCCTGCCCCCGAGGTGATCCACATGGTACAGCAGACCTCTCTGCTTACTGCTCCCCTCAACAGTGAACTTCATCAGTCTGCCTATTCTGCTCCCCACTCTGTCTCTGGTGAATCCTCTCACTACCTCTGCACCTCTAGCCTGTACCCCATGTCTATATGCATAAATTTAAAAAATCTTTAAAAATACAACAACAAAACAAAAATAAACAGACAACTATAAATCTGCAGGGGAGGGGGAGGCAAAAGGATTGAGACTGGGTGGGAGGAGTACAAGGGACTATGACAATGGTGCATGGGTGGACTGTTGGTGGGAATCCTACAGGGGCTACACATGGAAAAAGAAAGCAAATTGTGAAAATAAAAAAAGTTAAAATTGAACAATAATGTAAAATATATATAAAGGAAAATAAAAATAACCAGTAAGGCCTCTTGCTTAATGGGGCAAAATAACAATGTGGAGGCCGCCCCCTTTTCTTTTTCCTTTTTTTCTTTTCAGATTTATTTATTTTATACATTGTATAGGCCAGAGGTGCAGGGGCAGTGAGAGGATTCACCAAAGACAGAGTGTGGAACACAACAAGCAGATTCACAAAGTATACTGCTGAGAGGAACAGCAAGCCAGTCAGGAGAGGTCTGTCATGCAATGTGGATCACCTCTGGAGCAGGGGATCAAACTCTCACTGAAGTAGCTGTGATCACTTGCAGTGCTACACTTTAACCCAATGCACCACCAAGGAGGGCCCAGTAGCCCCATTTTCAAGGGCAAATATTCAGTATCCTTAGAACAATCCTCCAAATGACCCAGAGAAGTTGATCAGTCAGCAGATCAAAGAACTGATAGAAAATTTAGAGCATGTTTATCTAAGGAAATTACAAAACTATGCCTGAGAAATTAATAGAATGAAATATCTTTTGTTAGGCAAAACTTGGCTATCAAGAAAGAATTTACTATTTATGACTGGGAAAAAAAACTGCCTTTATAGTTACAGGACAAAGAAAATTCAATGAATGACATTAACAAATTAGTAGAGGCTGTTTTCCATGAACTGGAATATGGCTAAGAGAAATGATGAGAAAATTCAAGTAGAGAGCTTCCCAATGGAAATGAGATTTAAGTATCAGAACATTTGATTCTTTCCCCTACCACTGTAGGGCCTGGGAATGAAGAAAGACGGTAAAGTATCCATAATAAAATTTTCATTTTGAGTAATAAGGTATTGGACATTACTAACATACTTTGTAAATGAGAAAGACACATACCTTTTTTCTGAGTTGCTAGACGATGCAAGGTTTGAGGGTTCTGATGATGTTGCTCTCACTGAGGTCTGTGCAGGAGGAGGATTACTAAATAAGAAGTTGCTAATCAATCTCCAGATGGCAAGGAATGGGTAAAGTACTGTCCCCAACAATGTCCAAATGTCTCCACTGGAAGAATGTACTATGGATGTAGTTGGTCTTCCTGCCTGAAAATTAAGTAATAAACTTAATTAAAGGCCACATCAGCCCAATCACAAACACAGGATTCTAGATGAATCTTTTAAGTGGAAAAGATTGTCCCACTGATTTCACTTTACTGAGAGAAGGTAAAAATACCATCTTTTGGGGTAACTTCTGGAACTGTTTTTCAAAGGAATAATCACAACACACAGAAAGTAGTCTTGATGAGTTATTTTTTGAACAACATAATGGTCATATAATGAAGTACTTCTCTTTTTTTTTTTAATGGTGGTGGTGGTGGTGGTGGTAACAGAAGTACTTCTCATTGTGGAGATGTTACTCAGTAATACAAAGGCTTGTTTGTTTTAAACATTAAATGTCTTCTCCATTTGAATTTACTACAAATAAGTTTCATTTACACATTTTTTCTTCTTCATTTTAATGTTAGATCATACTGAATACATTTCTCTAAAACTTTTTGCCCACAAAGAAATGTCTTAGTTTTTGACGGACTTTGATATCTTAGTATAATATTAAAGTTTTTGACGGACTTTGATATCTTAGTATAATATTAACTTGAGAAATAAAAATTACTGAAAATATGGAGAAGACACCTCAACAATTCAAGAAGCAGTGATTATATCTGAAACTAGTGAGCACAAGTGATTTCCTCAGATTCTTCTCCCTATTTCATATTCTGAAACTATGAAATACTACCTATGCAAATTTCAGTGCAATATCTGTTGTGAAGAAACCAATTTTTCCCATTAAACACTTATCAATATATTCTTATTTTGAGGGAAACCTCTAACAATGTGAAACTACCCTATTTACTCTTTCTTGGGTACTTTTATACAGCAAAGCTCACTTTAATAGCACAAATGTTTTCAAGGCAAGATTTGATTCAGTGGGCCCTTTGAAGTCAGATTTGTCCATTTCACTTTCATAGATAATGCCTGTAATATTGGGAATTACATCCAAGAAAGAGTGCAATTGCATCTCCAGCATCTGATTCCATGACAGGCAGCGCCAAAAGCAGTGAAATGAGGAATTAGAACATTGTGTTGAAACTGAGGTCATGATGTTGACATCTTGAAGTGTCCAGATCTTTATGGGTGGAGGTATCAAACAAGAGATACAAGTATAATTCTGACTTGGAATATTCCTTTCCTGGAGTGCCACATGCTGAAACTTACATGACATTGTGTTCCAGGAAGCAGCCATTTCAGGTAGTAGAACATTTTAAAGATAATTAAATTTTGGTAATGAAATGAACAACTTTACTAAGAATAGTTTTGATTAAAAAAAAGGGGGGGGGAGTTTTAAACCTCTGAGTACAATCAATTTGGATTATTGGAGGGATAATGTTTTAGGGCTGGGGTCCAGTTCAGAGTAGGGAAAACTACACTAAGCAAGATAGAGGAGACCTTGGCTTACATCTGAGTTGGGTCTCTTAAGATCTGGTCTGAGTTAAGTCACTTAAGCCTCTTCATCAGAGATTTAAAATACTATTATGAAGATTAAAATGCTTAAAAACTAATGTTATTTTTATGTTAAAATGCTAAAAACCTGGTAAACAATAGAGCTGTGCATAAATAAAAAAATCCTAAGTTGAATTACACTGATATCCTGTCACTTATTTCCTCCTCGTCATTTTTGCACATGAAAATATTAAGGAAAAAAAGCTGAAAATTAATCTATTTTGTACCTTACAAGAATTATTAGCAAGTACAAGTATATAAAACATAGGACAATGTACAAAAAAGTCGATTTACTATCTTTTGATAATCTGAACTCTAATTACCACAGTACACCTCTGACCTTCTCTTCCACTAATTACAAAAAACATTAAGAACAAATATGGTAATAAGAAAAAAAATATATATATATGTGTGTGTGTGTATACATACTGGCAACAGTACCACTGAAGCACTTGGGGCAAGTTCCAAATCCAATAATTTCTTTTTATAATCTTCTTTGGTAAACTCCCTCCTGGGAAACATAGTTGCTAATGAAAAATTACCGTAAGTGTTGCCAACAGTCTGAAACAAAAAATTTCAAACTTTACAACATGCACTTATAGGTATTACATACTTATATGCATCCAAAATGATAGCTTTAGTTAAAATTTGTTGTTTTTTTAAGACTTATTTTATTTACTTCTGCATAGAACTGAGATGTAGGCCAGAGGTTAAAGGAGGTGAGAAGATTTATCAGAGACAGAATGGGGAGCAGAACAGGAGGATTTACTGAAATACACTGCTAAAAGAAGCAGTGAGGAGACAACAGGGGTGGAAGCAGGATCGGTCTGCTGAGCCATATGTGAATCAGCTTCCTGGCTGGGGAAAACTGAGGACACAGCTGTGATAGCACTGAGACTTAATCCCTACACCACCAGTGAGGCCCAAAATTGCCTTAATTTAAAAGGTTCATTTAATGTAAATTCAAAAACACATTTGTAAAATCTTTGTGCTTTCAAAAAGTAACTCAAAGTTGGACCTCCCAGGTGGCTCAAGGAGTAAGTTGCAAGCACTACAAAGCAATCTGCAACCACTGCAGCACAAGTTCAATCCTCCGCAAGGGAGCTACGCACATGGTGCAACAGAACTTTCCTGTCTCACCCACTGCTCCCCTCAGCAGTGTATTTCATTAGATCCACCTGTTCTGAGCCCCATTCTGTCTCTGGTGAATCCTCTTACTGCCCCTGCACCTCTGGCCTGAACCCCAGTTCTGTATGCATAAATAAATAAATCTTTTTTAAAAGCGATGAATTATGTACCTTTTAATTAGGCCTTCAGTTTGTCTTTAAAGCTATCACAATCCAATTAACAAACTTCTAATTACTATCTCACAAATATACATATGGATTACCACTATTACAAATCTACAATAGACCAGAATTTTTATCATATAACATTAGGGAGTTTTTATATCCTCTTTTTCCAGGTGAGTATACTATGAAGAGAAACATTTCCACATGTCCCTTATACAATATCAGCAAATTCCTACTTTGCACAAGCAGCAGCTATGCTATTCAAATATAGCACTAATACATTAAAGAAACTACACATCGTCTCAGAGATGTCTTGGGTCTCTCTTCTGGGCATAAATCAAGACTTAGATATTTTTCAAAGTCTGCTTTGAAATCTTTCATTGCTACATTTTAATAACCCACCCAACTGTCTTTACCTAAAATATAAATTACCTGTGCAGCAAACTGTCTTGCTTCCTCTAGAGGAGCATCGGAAGGGAACTGATTTGTAAAGGAAGAACCATCAGGAAGACGGAATTGAATTCTTGCAATAGTGCTATGAAGAAAGAAAATAAAAGTCAGCAGTTTTACATATTCTCAAGCTATCATTAAAAGAGAAAAATGGAAAAAAAAAGAAAAATGGAAGCAGTAATGTCTAATAAAAATAGCCTCTCCTCCATTATGTCAGACCTTTTAGTAACAGTTGTAGTGAAATATACACTTTAAAAGCAAAGGACAAAAAAAAAATGAAAGGTTGGGGCAAGTACTAATTCAGAAACAAAAGGAGGAAATGCTGTTTTATTAGATATACTAGACTTCAACAAAAAAGGTAACCAGAGACAAATATGGGAACTATATAATGTTCAAGAGAACAATTCATCAGGATGTTATTAATATTTATGTACCTAATACAGGAGCACCTCATTACCTAGAGTAACTATTAGCAGACTTAAAACAGTATGTCAAAATTAATATCACCATCTTAGACCTCAACATACCACTAATACAAAGGGCTAAAACATCCAGACAGAAAAATTAAAGGCCTTAAGTGTTAGAATAGGTGGATTTATTGGATATTTACATTTTATATTTATTAATGTTTATATATTATAGCTACATACCCTTGCTTTTTTGGCTTTCCATGCCAAAAGAAATGAATACACTTTCTTGTCTAGTGCATATAGAACATTCTTAACAATATAAAATATACTAAGATATTAAAATTGTCTTTGTAAACAAATTATGGGGGCCTCCCTGGTGGTGAAAGGTATTAAGTCTCAGCACTATGAAGATATTGGCAGCCAATGCTGCATAAATTCGATCGCTGACCAGGGAGCTGACCCACAGGAGAGGCACACCGGAACTCTCCTGTCTCTTTTGCTGTTCCCCTCAGCAGTGTATTTCAGTGGATCCAACTGCTCTGCTCTCACTCTGTCTCCAGTAAATTCTCTTCACTACCCTCCATACTTCTGGCCTACATCCCAGTTCTTGTATGCATGAATAAATAAATCTTTAAAAAAAAAAAACAAAAAAACCCCAAAATTATGTCAACCACTTTTACAGATCACAATGCTATCACAGAACACAATGAGCTACCATCTCAACCCTGTGATAATGGCCAAATAAGAAAGAATGGAGGGTCTTTCCTGGTGGCACAGCGGGTTAAAGCACAGCACAAAGAAGCTTAAGCCACTTCCGCATGAGCTCGATCCCCGCCTGCCCGGGAGGAGATCCACATGGCAAGGCAGACCTCTCCTGACCCGCCTGCTGCTCCCCTCAGCAGTGTACTTCGTCGATCTGCCTGTTCTGTAACCCATTCTGTCTCTGGTGAATCCTCTCACCCTCTGCATTTCTGGCCAGTACCCCAGTTCTGTACAAATAAATAAATCTTTAAAAAAAAAAAGAATGGAATCAACAAATGAGGCAAGGTTGCAGGGGAAAGAAACTATCATCTACTGTTGGTGAGCTTCCAAGTTAATGCAATTTGTGGAAAATGGTGTGGAGAGTTCTTAAGAAAATAAAAATAGAAATTCCGTATGACCCAGCAATATCTCTATAAGGCATTTATCCAAAAAAATATGAAAACTCTAATAGAGGCCTCCCTGGTGGTGCAAGGGTAGCACAGTGAAGCACTATGAAGCTATCCACAGCCACTGCAGCACAATCTCAGTATTTAATCAGGACCTTACATACATGGTGCAGGAGACCTTTCCTGTCTTGCCTGCTGCTTCCCTCAGTAGTGTATTTCAGGCAATTTGCCCATTCTGCTCCCCATATTGTTTCTGGTAAATCCTCTCAACAGCCCCTACCCCCCCCCACCCCGCCCAACCCAGCCTACCACCTACCTCTTTTTTTTTTTTTTACTAGTACAGATTATTTTTTTTATGATTTTATTTATGCATACAGAAGTGGGGTATAGGCCAGAGGTACAGGGGTGTAAGACAACTCACCAGAGACAGAGCAGGGAGCAGAATAGGCAGATCGATGAAATACAATGCTGAGGGGAGCAGCAAGTGAGATAGGAGATGTCTGCTGCACCATGTGGTTTACCTCCATGGCTAGGGATTGAAATCACACTGAAGGGGCTGCGGCCAGCTTTGCAGTGCTGAGCTACTCCACTGTGTCACCTATTACCTAGTTCTTGTATGCATAAAAAATCTTTTAAAAAAACCAAAAACCTAGTTCATAAAGATTTATTGACACTTATATATACATAGCAGCACTGCTCACAATTGCCAAGTTATGCAATCAACCTAAGTGTCCCTCAATAGATGATGGATAAAGAAAATTGTAGAACATATATTTGATTTAATACAACACCGCTGTGACAAAAGATTAAATTGTAACCATTTGAGACAAAAATTGATCACTCCTGATTATGTTACGGAAAATAAATAAAAAACTGACAGTTACCAGACAGTATCACTCATCTGTGAATATATACAAGCAAAATACAATAGGGATAAATCTTGAACTCAGTGAAAAAAATATAATGGTTTAAAAGGGAGTGAGTGATGGCCCTCCCTGGTGGCACAGTGGGTTAAAGCACAGCACTAAGAGGCTAAAGCCACTTCAGCATGAGTTCAACCCCACCTGCCCCAGAGGTGATCCACATGGCATGGCAGACCTCTCCTGACCTGCCCGCTGCTCCCCTCAGCAGTGTACTTAGTCGATCTGCCTGCTCTGCTCCCCACTCTGTCT